AGAAAGAATCTTGAGTTAACTGATATCTTGTGCTTTTCATGGTTTTGATTATTAGGGACAAAGGTCCCACATCGGAAGTTGGAATGGATTCTATCTAGTATATAAGATAGTTGGGCCACTCCACTTATCACCAATTGGTTTTAGGTTAGAAGTCCATCTAGCTTAATATGGTATCAGACCCCATGATCCACGCAGTCCAACCCGATCTTTATCGATCCAGCCCAAAGTCGGCCCATCGATCCTTGCCCAAACATTCCGAGATTGACGCTGAAGAACCATCATCTCGAGGGGGCGTATTAGGGACAAAGGTCTCACATCGGAAGTTGGAAGGGATTCTATCTAGTATATAAGATAGTTGGGTCACTCCACTTATCACCAATTGGTTTTAAGTTAGAAGTCCATCTAGCTTAATATTGATCATCCAGTTTGTGTGTATTTTAATCATTTAGGTTCGCATTTAGACATTATTAGGTTGCATTGTCATACATAAGTCTCTATCAAGTGTTGGAGTAACCATTTGGAGGCTTTGGAGGTATTTGGAGACATTTTCAGGACACAAGAGGTGAAGATTGAACTTTGCTGAATTAGGCCAGGATTGGAGAACAAGTGTCAAAGTGGGTAGCTGAAGCGGGATGAAGAAGCCATTGTAGACCAAGCGTGTCTTGTCGCGGGTTGGTGAAGTTGATGAAGTACCCGTTGCGAGTGAGACTTGATCATTTATCCAAGAAGAAATCTGAACTGTGGGAGCGTTGTAACTTGAAGCGGGTGCAAGTGAGTGAAATTTCATCAAAACAAACATGATATCATGATACTTGACAGTAACACACAAAAGCGTATTAAGAGGGTAAATCAAACTTTTGTCCAGAAAAAAAAGAGAGTAAATCAAACTTTAAATGTGGATATTGTAGTGATGCTGTGATATTTGCATTGTTTCCAAAAAAACAGAAACCTACACATAATATTTTTATTATATTGATTTATTTTCATCTATGATCGACATTTACAACCTAAATAAAACCAAATTAATTTTTTTATAAAATTAGAAAGAATTTTTCGCAGGCGTGCGTGGATCAAACTCTATTGATAATCTTAAAATCTTTGGCCAATATACCTTGTAGGTACATGTTAACTGGTTAAGCATAAAAAAGAGTTATTCTTAGGTTCACCTTAGGGGGTGAACCTTTAGATTCACCATTCAATAAGATTGCATCATTTCATATTTGATATTTTTTTTAAAAGGAAACAAAATCTTGTTAAGTTATATTATGTTTTTAAAAATAAAAATACAAAAAGAAATAAATAATAATAATAATTAATAAAAACGAAAATAATTCTTTAAAAAAAATATTTTAACACTAAACCCTAAACTCTAATCCTAAACACTAAACCCCTAGGTAAATCATATACCTTTGGTAAATTTTATAAAAAAAAATATTTTCACTAAAACACTAAACCATAAACTCTAATCATATACCCTAAACCCTTGGATAAATCATAAACACTAAACCCTAATCTCTAATCCTAAATCCTAAACCCTTGGATAAATCATAAACACTAAACCCTAAACTCTAATCCTAAACCCTAAAATCTTGGGTAAATCATACACTAAATTTTTATTGATTTATTCAAAAGTTTGTGATTTACCTAAGATTAGACTTTAGAGTTTAGTTTTAAAATATTTTCTTTAAAAATAATTATTTTTGTTTTTATTAATTATTTTTTTTTATTTTTTTGTATTTTTATTTTTTAAAAATATAATATAACTTAATAAGATTTTGTTTCCTTTTTAAAAGATATCAAATATGAAATGATGTAATCCTAGTGGATGATGAACCTAGAGGTTCACCCTCGGGGGTAAACCTAGAGGGGTGAACCTAAGAATCTTATTATATAAAGAAGGGTTTTCTTCCCTCTTATGATGCCATGTCACTAAATAGGATGAAGAGAAAATGACACATGGCATGTAAAATTATTATTACAAAAAATAATGTTTAATATTAACCAATGCTTATTTATGTGAATGCATTTATCAATTTTTTTTAAAAAAGTATGAATCTTTTTATTTTGAGATAAAAATATATTAAAAAAAAATCATAGTATCCATGAATTCAAAAAAAAAATATAAAGCTGAAAATAATCCATAATTTATATTCTTAGATATTTTATTTTATCAACATTGAAAAATGTTAGAATTTACTGATATAATAAAATAACAAAATATAAATAGGGAAAAACTATTATTAAAAAAATAACAAAATATAAATAGTAAAATTTAATGTTATTTTTATTTTCAATAAATTAAAAAAAAAATCAGATACTCACTAAATTTGAATATATATATATATATATATATATATATATATATATATATTATGTGTGTATATGACTAGATTTTTAAAAGTAGCACATTAGAAATTAATATGCATTAAATATGCAAGGAGAAAAATAAGAATACAAACTAAATCAAAAGGAATAAACACCTCAAATAAATACAAAGATTCCCACATAAATTGGCTAAAAATAATCCATAATTTATATTCTTAGATATTTTATTTTATCAGTATAGACAAATGTTAGAAATTACTTATATAATAAAATAAAAAATATAAATTGTGAAATTTAATGATATTCTTATTTTCAATAAATTAAGAAAAATCAGATACTCACTAATTTTGAATATATATATATATATATATATATATATATATATATATATTTATTTATTTATGTGTGTGTATCACCCGATTTTTAATAGTAGCACATTATGAATTAATATACATTAAATATACAGGAAAAAATCAGAATACAAACTAAATCAAAAGAAATAAACACATCACACAAATAAAAAGATTCTCACATAAATTATATTGTATGTTGTTGTGAAAAATAATATTGTATACACACTAAACTTATATCAATTACTGCGTAAAAAATAATCGGACACATAATTAAAAATAACTATGTGCTTTTATGAAAAACAAACAAAACATAAAACATTATAATACTAAAAATAATATAATATTTCAAAATATGTTTGACAGTAGATAAAAATAAAAATGTCCAAAATATAAATGGACATCAAATTTTGGTAGAGATTGTGAAATGTTTAAGTAAACATGTCATTCATTTTACTATAGACAAAGTAAACACTAAATAACCAACAATTATCTTGAAACGAATACACACAAGATGAAGACAAAAAAAATATGAATATCAGGCATATAACCTGACAAATGTCATTAGCTGAACACCCTCCTGTCTCATAATCTTTCACCTCATAATTTTTTTCTGGTGAAATACAATCAGAAAAAAAAAATGAAAAAAAAAAAGAGAAAATATTGTTACGTTCACTATATCTAGCACAACGATGAGCGTGCATTTATCTCTTTTAAAACAATAACAAAAAAAATTAAATGGGAGTAAATATCTTTCCACTTGATTGATAGTTTTTAAGAATAAGTTGAAGAAAAATTTGCACATAATACCCTAGGCTCGAGAATAGAACTTGCATAAATACACAGCTATATCATACTGATCCGTATAACAAGTCCCAAAAAAACATGAAGTGAACCATGAATACATCCACCGAAACTTTCAAACAATTTAATAACTTCTAAATCATTAAAACTAATATTTTATTTTTAATGAAACAAAAAAATTGACATTAATCTTTTTGTTAAAAAATAATCATTTAGTGAAAATATTTAATATAATTAAAAAAATAAATTTATAATTATAATAAATAAAATTAATATAATCATAATAAAAATAATCATTTAGTGAAAATATATAATATAATTAAACAAATAAATTTGTAATTATAATAAATAAAATTAATGAGAAAGAAGATAAATCAATTTTCGCTATCAATCTTTATACATTTCATTAGATTTATACCAACAAAATTAAAAATACTGAATCTCACAGATTATTTTGTTTCTTTTTATTACCAAATTTACGGTTAACCTAGAATACAAAATAATATAAAAATAATTAACAATTAATACATAACGAAAATAATTTAAAAGCCAAGAACTAATAAGATATAAAAATAAACTAATTAAAATTTAATTTTGCTATGTAATATAACTTGAGTTTAATGAAAAGTTTTCTTTATGTGTTTATTAAAAAAATTAATAAAGATTTAATAGTTAAGTAAAAGTTACAGAATACTTAAATATATTCAAAATAAATAAAGAAGTCTATAAGTTTTGAAAGACGAAAAATCTATTATCATATTGTTTTCTTTTATGTTTCATCAAACCTAAGAAAAAAATATGCACACACTAAATTTTCTTTCGATTTTAGGTAAATAAGATCAAATTAGAATAATTATAAAAAAAATTTAAATAGTAAAAAATGAGTAGTAAATAAGAAAATTTTTTTTTACAAAAAATTGAAAATAAAATAATAACACACAACAAATAAAGAAAAAAAGTCGAAACGAGCCACAATACACAATAATTCTATGCAAAACACATACAAATAATCTATGACATAGAAAATTTTGATATTAAAACTCGAAAGACTAAAAAGAATAAATAATTAAAAATAATTATATAATTGTCTAACTACCTATATTTTATAATATATTATAATATTTATATATCAAAATAACATACAACATATATAATTAAAATTTCAACTAAAAACCCGGGCGTAGCCCGGGTCCGCCCTAGTAAGTCCATAAAAAATTATAGAAGAAGAAAAGGATACGACTAGTGAGAGTAACATCTGCACTACAAAAAGGACCGAGTCTCAACCAATAATGCAAAAAAATTGATTGAACAATAAAAAAAAAGAGAGTTAATCAGACAACAACAGCTACTAACCAAATTTAAAAGGCTTGAAATCGTCAACCATTTGTATTAATATCACGAATCGAGAAATACAACGCAGAACAATATCTCTGATCAACCGAACGTAAGAGAAAACATAAACACAAAATAAAAAATATATATATACCAGAGTGAAATATAGATCAGAGTGTATTTGGCAAAATGACAGAGATACTGCCAATGATTTTCCTCCTTGCTTCACATTTATTTGTCTCCGGTATGATAAATAAATTACAGAACTCATTTACTGTTTTTATAATAATTTTATGTACTTATGTTTATAATAACTCGTATAGGAGTGTTGTCGGTGAGTATCCTTACCATAGAGAACAAATGCGACCACACAGTTTGGCCAGTGATCTACTCATGGACGTCCTCCCAAGTGAACTCCACCGGTTTCGCTCTAAAGAAAGGAGAGGCACATGACATACGTGCGCCATTTGGGTGGTATGGTCTTATCTCCGGGAGGACGCTCTGCTCCACCGACACGTCCACAAGGAACTTCTCTTGTGCCACGAGAGACTGCGAATCCGGAAAAGTTGAATGTCCTGGCGATGATTACAGTTGGTCTTCGGTGACTTACGTCTCCTTTAGACTCGATAAAGACGGTTTCGACAGCTACGCAATTAGTGTCGAATACGGTTATAAACTTCCGATCATGGTGGTCCCGTCGTTGAAGAGTATGACATGTATCACATCCGGTTGTGTGGTTGACTTGAACAAGACTTGTCCAAAGGATCTTATGACAAT